TTTTTTTTTTTTTTTTTTTTTTTTTCTTTTCATTTTTTATATCTTTTACATTCTTCTTTAATCTCTCTTCTCTAAGCTATAGAATTTATTTTATTGTTCTACACTTTTCTCTAATCTCAATATTTCTTAAAATCTCTTCTATGTCAATAGAGTACAACGAAGATACTTATTTTCAATTACTCTCAGTTTCAATGACATCCCTTCCAACAAGGGTATATCAAATTTCTACAAAAACTGACATCCCATCTCGTTCTCAAAGAACTTCTATTGTTCCAAGATATTCTTTGCCAGTAAACAAAGTAATAAACAACAGTGAACAAATAACTTTACCTATAAATGACAAAAGACTCAGTCAAACAATAAACCCTCTTACCACATCGGTAAATATAGAAAAATTGGATAATGAAAATGTAAGACAAAGTATTTCAAAAACTAAAACAAAAGGACAAATAGTAATTCAAGACTCATCAAAAATGTCACATCACCCATCTTTTCTTAATAAAAAGAGAAGTACTCTTATTCTTGATGATATAAATCAAGAGAAAAGAAAAACAATCACAAGATATCAATCTAACGAAGCTCAGAATTTTGTTCTTAATAGAAAAGAGTTAAATAGAATATCAATCACTAAAAGAACATCAAAACTTGGTTCAAGACATAATTCTGGTTTTGTAAATGGAATTACAAAAAGGCAAAGTTCTATTATTCACGGGATAAAAAACAAACAAGAACGATTCAAAGTTGTCAAAGAATTATTATCTTCAGAAACAACATATGTAACAAACTTAAAAATTCTTATGGAAGAATACATGGAACCATGTTACAATAAATCTATACTTCCTAAAAAAACATGTGATATTATTTTTGCAGGTATTAAGTCAATTTATTTTACAAATAAAAAGTTTCAAATTGAGTTAAATGATATTTATGGTGAAGCTAAAAGTATTGAAGATGGAAATGAAGATTTAAGGTTTGAACAAATGGTTAAATGTTTCCTAAAATTTGTAGATGTCTTTAAGTTATATTCATCGTTTGTAAATAATTATGATAATGCAAGGATTACTGCTGAAAATGAATTAAAAGAAAATAAGCTCTTTCATGATATGTGTGATAATACCACAATTAAACCAATGAGTTCTAATGGAATTCTTTCATTATTAATTCTTCCTGTTCAAAGAATTCCAAGGTATGTTATGTTAGTAAAAGATCTTTGTAAATGGACTCAAAGAAATCAATGGTCAAATAACTTGGCATTATTAAAAGAAAAGATTGATGGACTAGGAAAACTTATTAATGACTCAAAAAAGAAACAAAAGCAAATGGATTTATTAAAAGAATATAATCTTACAATAACAAATTTTGAGAAAATTATTGGGGAAGAATTTGTAACTGCTGCAAGAAGTTTTATTTCTGAATATGACGTATTTGTTTATTACAAACATAGAGTGAAAGCATTAACTTTAATCATTTTTACAGATGTATTAATTCTTTGTAAAAAAGAGAAAAAAGGTTCGACTGTAGTTTATGGTGCAAAATTACAATTTTGTAAATTATATCTTTCATCAGATGAACTAAATCAAATTACTTCTTTAAAAACTTCTTTACTAAAGAAAAAAGGAGAAAAGTTTAGACCATTCTTAGATGCTTGTTTTGGATTAGAAATTGTTGGAAAATCAATAACTGACCCACTACTTAAACCAAGAACTTTCTTAATGTGGCAAAATAGTTCATACCCATCTTCTGCAGCTAAAATAGATATTCTTCAATCAGTTTCAGCTTGGCAACAAGTATTAAGAAATAATAATTTTAAAAGAAGAGAATCTTTGGCTTTTTACCTTCCTAAATAAAGTATAATTACATTTTTTGTTTTTTTGTTGATTTACTTTAAATTTCTTAAAATT